TAGAACTTTTGACCCAAATTGATAACCAGCGAATGCAAAGAAAGAAAGAAGATCTATATTAAAAACATAGCTAGCAGCATCCGCCCAAAATATCGAGTTCTGGAACAGGGTCCCTCCTTTACTGAAGAATATTTTTTCAGGGTACTTCTGTGTTCAAGAAAAATGTCCCCAATCATAATAGGCTATGTTAAGTTTATCTGTGTTAACATTGTTTTAACTTTTTTTTTGGTTAACTCTTTGTATGCATATATCTCAACCTGACATGTTTCCTTAGGTGCTGATCCCCTCGCGGGTGGCTCTGGAGGTTCGGTTCCCGTCTCCACCAACCCGATGTCAATTCTACCCCAAGGCATGGCCCCTCACCCACTGTTTACAATGGCCGGCAGTAGAGAGGAGTTCATTCAGCGGGAACTTTACAGCAGGGGAGGACATTTCCTGGATCCAGCCCTGGCACATCAGGTGGGACATTCACATTGTTGCTTCTTCAGCAGATTCCTCCTGTGAGCTCTTGGGCCCAAAGGTCGCGGGAAAGAAGAATAAGCCCGCTGCCCCCTGACAAAACAAGTATGTAGTAAGTGTAGACTAATCAGGGACCATTCCTTCAAAGTCAGAGTGCATCTGCTTAAGAGGCGAGGAACCAACAGTCTGCAAACATATAAGCCAGATCTAAAATGAATGTGCGCAAAAAACTCAGTTTATGGAACAGAGAAAATTTCAGCAACCTGAACATTCCACCAGAGTTTACAGCCGGTGAACTTAAAGAAGAAGAAGACTAGCTAAATCAGAATGAATAAGTAGCTGTTACAGTAGCTGCTGAAACAAGAACTATTCTTCTCAGGTACATCAAGTTAGAAACTTAGATTGTTGCTTTATGCAGTTATCGGCCAAATCAGATTGAATAAGCAGTAGTTAGAGTAGCTGGTGAAACAGCCAACTATCCAACCCTGGCAGCCCAGGTGGAACATTCACACTGTTGCTTTATCCAGTAGGTTGTCTTAGCCTTAATTAGATTTTTATTTCCTTACACATGCTTGGCATTCATGCTGTTGCTTTGTCTAGTAAATTTACCTTAGCTCAAATAGGATCAGATACACGGCTGGTAAAATAGCTGACTATCCAGTCCTGAAAAATCACATTTGACACACACACTGTTGCCTCAACCAGCAAATTGACCTTATCTTAAATCAAGACTGCATAAACAGCTGTAAGAGTGTCTGGTGAAGCAACGAACTACCTAGTTCTGGTACACCTCATGTTTGACATACACACTGTTGCTTCAACCAGCAAATTGACCTTATCTTAAATCAAGACTGCATAAACAGCTGTAAGAGTGTCTGGTGAAGCAACGAACTACCTAGTTCTGGTACACCTCATGTTTGACATACACACTGTTGCTTCAACCAGCAAATTGACCTTATCTTAAATCAAGACTGCATAAACAGCTGTAAGAGTGTCTGGTGAAGCAACGAACTACCTAGTTCTGGTACACCTCATGTTTGACATACACACTGTTGCTTCAACCAGCAAATTGACCTTATCTTAAATCAAGACTGCATAAACAGCTGTAAGAGTGTCTGGTGAAGCAACGAACTACCTAGTTCTGGTACACCTCATGTTTGACACACACACTGTTGCTTCAACCAGCAAATTGACCTTATCTTAAATCAAGACTGCATAAACAGCTGTAAGAGTGTCTGGTGAAGCAACGAACTACCTAGTTCTGGTACACCTCATGTTTGACATACACACTGTTGCTTCAACCAGCAAATTGACCTTATCTTAAATCAAGACTGCATAAACAGCTGTAAGAGTGTCTGGTGAAGCAACGAACTACCTAGTTCTGGTACACCTCATGTTTGACATACACACTGTTGCTTCAACCAGCAAATTGACCTTATCTTAAATCAAGACTGCATAAACAGCTGTAAGAGTGTCTGGTGAAGCAACGAACTACCTAGTTCTGGTACACCTCATGTTTGACATACACACTGTTGCTTCAACCAGCAAATTGACCTTATCTTAAATCAAGACTGCATAAACAGCTGTAAGAGTGTCTGGTGAAGCAACGAACTACCTAGTTCTGGTACACCTCATGTTTGACATACATATTGTTGCTGTACCTTGCAAATTTACCTTCGCTTGAATCAGATTGCATAAGCAACTGTAAGAGTATCTGGTGAAACAGTAGACAATCCAACCCTAGCACATCAGGTGGGACAATCACATTCTTGCTATATGCAGTGTACTGAAGTCAATTGTATGTTCATTAGGCATCATTTATGATCCGTTTAAATAGATACCAGGTAATGTCTTGGGGAAATGAATGCGTCTGACATGATTTTGACTGGTCGAGCACTTATTTACCTATAGCACTAGAGGCGTAAAAATTATCTTTTAATTTGTTCTTTTATATGCCACACTTACGTTTTCCTTAGTTAAGACATTTATTGATTTTAACACATCCTGTCCTAGCTGTTAACTAATTATTATTTCTGTGACAAAACTCTCCTGAGTTGAGGCAGTTGTTTTATTCCTTGTAACTAGAAATGTCACAGTAACTCGCTAGCCATTAAAATCTCTTTAAATGTTGCAAACCCAGTGTTGTTGCATCGGCCTGGTCCCCACAAGCTTAGTTAATGACATTGGTTCTCTTTGCCTCTGTGCAGTGTTTTGAAGCTGTGCAGTTTTTAAAAGTTGTTTAGAAAGACCGTTAGGAATCATGTTTAAGCCATTATGCCACTATAATTTGTGCTAGCAGAGTTGCACAGCGAAAGAGTTGCAGTATATTTTTTTAGTCACTGAAGAAATTTGTTAAGCCTAAGGAAATGGGAACTGTTTAATTCTCCATTCAATTTATTTATTGATTAATTTCCTTCATATTTTTCTAAAAACACCTTTTTAACATTTTTTTGGGTACTTATGTAAAATGTTTTTAAATGATTTTCAAATTTCCCCCAGAATTCCCATGCTTGTTAACCCCACCAATAAGCTATCTTTTTTCTTTAGGGCTTTAGACGCTAAAGGGTTGAAGACATAACAATTTGAGATAGAATGAGTCAAAAGTAATAGATAGGACAGGATGAGTTTATATAAAACAGTGTGAGGCAACAGGTGATTGTCTCCTTGTTAGTAATGATAAGATTTGTCTGTTGATTTCAGCTGTCAGCTCAGGCGGCCGCTCATGAAGCTCTGCAGAGACACATGGCCATGGAGAGGGAGCGGTATGGATCTGCAGGCCATCTGCCTCATTAAACAGCAGTTTCTGGAGGATGTTTCTTGCATAATAGTATCGGACATTGCGCATACATGTGTTGTTGCGTCCTTTGGAAGATTGGATCGCTTCTCCTGCTTACACTATGCTGTCTTGTCCTTTGGACACTTCTTTTGGGAGATTGGACCATCACTCATATGTAAATATTGTCCTTTGGGGCAGTTCTGTTGGAAAATTGGTCCACTTTTCATGTGTGCAGTGACTTGTCTGTGAACAGTTCTGTTTGGAGATTGGACCACTTCTCATGTGTATGTTGACTTGTCCTTTGGTCAGTTCTTTTGGGCAGTCAGACCACTACTCGTGCATATGTCTTATGCCTTGGCCAGTTCTATAAGGAGATCGGGTTGTTTCCTTCAAGTTTTTCTCTCAAAGAAGACTAAGGCTTGGTTGTAAAATAAATGTGACTTTTGTTCATTAAGAAATAAAAATGAAGCAACAAACACTGGGTGGCTTGAGGTTGGGACACCATGTTACGTTCTCTCCCAGTGCGTGTGAACTTCATTGTGTATAACATTTAGTTTGAATTATGTTGTCACTCGAGTCTGAATTACAAATATTTGACGAAACGTAAGACATTATATTAACTGTTATACATTTGTGTATGTGTATGTATAACACACGTAAACTCTTGATTATGGAGCTGATACGACTGATTCTGTTTGTTAGACAACCAGATCATCAGCAAAACAGTCTTGGTTATCTGTGGGGCCCAGAAAGTAAATGCAGGTATGAGTTAATGTAGAAATTGTCAAGGACTTCAGAAGTAAACAATCCTCATTCTTTGGACAGGTCATGAGAGAGGATAAACTGAGGTTCATTGACACACACACACAAAACAACCTGGCTTTTGCTGCAATAAAGGAATGACAAATAATCATTTTACGTTTAAATGACCTGATAGGCCAAGTGTCCTACTATTTCTATCATTCATCTGTCAAGTTTCACAGGGAGGAACAATTTTTAGGTCCTGTGCTCAATGAATTGTTTAAGCATCAGGTGTCTTTAAGTTGGCAATCCATTTTCTTCTTGTGTGCCTTCTTACTCTTGTATCATCTCTTTTTGGATATATAATGAAAAATGAACAAGAAGCAGAATTAGTCAGCTTTACGGTACCACAGTCATGAACAATTAAATGAATGTTGTGGCCAAAAAGCATTCATCAGCAGATGACACAAATGGACAGTGATAAATGTCCACAGACACACACAAATACATAAAATCACTTAGCTTTATGGTGGACCTTTCACAAATTCTCTATTCATGCTTGAACATTACAGGCTCTATGTTAGTGTTGTATGGAGCAGTGACACCCCTTCTTAGTAATGTCTTTACTAGTAACTGCTGCTGCTACATTTTAACCAAAGGCTTCAGAGTATTTTTGACGGTAACCATTAGAAGTCTAAAATCATGTGGTTGCTTTCGCTTGCTGCCCACTATTTGTGCCGGAAATATGTTCAGAAAACAGTGTCAGGCTTGATAAGGATACAGGAAGCTGTACTTTTAGTATTCCACAAATTGTCATTCTTCCACCCTTCAGCACCAATGCAGCGGTAGGCCCCTGCTAACTTATGCCAAGTTTCTCTTTGTTTGTTCCAAGCTCCCATTTTGGGAGTGGGGGCAAAGAATAGACCCAGTGCTCCTCTAACAAGACGAGTAAGTGTAGTTTCACTTTTTTGTGGGAGAGGTATATGCGTTGCTTCTTTTTTATGGGAATGTGTTGCTTCACTTTATGTGGGAGAGAACTGGGTATTTCACTTTGTATAGGAAAGAACTGGGTGTTGTTACATTTTGTATGGGAGAGAACTGGGTATTTCAATTTTTATGGGAGAGAATTGGGTGTTGTTACACTTTGTATGGGAGAGAACTGTGTGAGAAAGAACTAAATGTTGTTTCACTCTGTATGAGAAAGAACTGGGTGTTGTTTCATTCTGTGTGGGTGAGAACTGGGTGTTGTTTCACTCTGTATGGAAGAGAACTGGGTGTTGTTACACTTTGTATGGGAGAGAACTGGGTGTTGTTACACTTTGTATGGGAGAGAACTGGGTGTTGTTACACTTTGTATCTGAGAGAACTGTGAGAAAGAACTAAATGTTGTTTCACTTTGTATGAGAAAGAACTGGGTGGTGTTTCATTCTGTATGGAAGAGAACTGGGTGTTGTTTCATTCTGTGTGGAAGAGAACTGGGTGTTGTTACATTTTAGGTGGGAGAGAACTTTGTGTTGTTGTTACATTCAATGTGGGAGAGAACTGGGTGTTGTTTCACTATGACCAGGTCTTTACATTAAATAAACTTCATTCCTGACATTTGTCTGTACAAGCATGTGTTGTCAGGTACAGCATTTACCATATGCCTGTGTAACAATTTGTTTTATATGATTACACATTTGATAACACCATTTTCTAGGTTACAGTAAATTTTGGTTGTATGTTTTTCATATCAGTGTATGTTGGTGCAGACATAAGTCTTGCTATGTCTAAATGATCATTGTTTGTATGTTTTTATATGTTCAGAGATGTTGGTATTAGGCCAGAGTCGCCTAGGTGCTAAATCCTTTTTCTGAGAAAATACATTTGATCATTGAAAAACGATTGTGAACATCAACAGATGCACTGAGGGTTGTTAGATACACCATTGTCCTATCGTTTGTGATTTGTCACATCTTCATATTATTTGAGGCTTGTCAGATTCATTGCCAGTCTTATTGTTTGAGGTTTGTCAGATTCATTGCCAGTCTTATTGTTTGAGGTTTGTCAAACACATCAGTAAACCCGAACCCCACACTCCCACGAACTCTTGTAAAAGAAAAGGTGACATTTAATAATTGGGGGTTTGCGGAAATTGGATATGTTGGGGTAAAAATCCGCAGATATCGCTGCCTAGCTGTAAACCCCAACACAGCTTGCCTGCTACCCTTTTAAGGGTCAGCACAGAAGAAGAAGATTGTAAATACAAAGTTCCCGTTGTCACATTCAGTTGTCAGCCATAACTGATTTTGTTTGTTGGTTTGTTAGAAGGTGGTCCACATCATGTGTGGTTGATTTTTTGTGTGTGGGTAGTTTGTGAAGACTCTGTTCTGTTAATCTATCAAAGATATTTCACTGTTTGATGCCAAGTAGGCATTAATTTGATGTGGGTTTTTTCTCCACCAAGTTTTTGTTAATTAATGTGAATCTAGCATGTGCGTATTTTCTTCAATGAGTTCATTAAAATCAGTCTAACTTTCTATTTTGGGTTCATGTTGATAAAATCAATCTAACCAGTTCATGTTTTCTCCATTGTGTTCTTGTTATATAAAATCAGTCTAACATCAGTTCATATTTTCCCCATTGTGTTCATGTTAATTAAAATGGATCTATCATCAGTCCGTGATTTCTCTACTGTGTTTATGTTCATTAATATCACATTTTGAAGCAAAAGTTATTCGATGAACCAGCATTGAAGGCATTTTTTAAATGGAAGAATGACTTATACACTGATAGTGTAATCCTTTGCACAAACATGTTGTATTTCAGTGAATTTGAGAATAAATAATCCTCCATATCGTGTGAATTTATCATCATAAATGCTTTGTTTGTTGATCTAGGCTTGTTGTATTTAAGTTGACATCAGTGAAGTTTGTCTGTGGCTAAGGCACTGTGAACACGTTTCGTAATGCCAGGGTGCTGGGTTCAATCCTAGCTGCAGGTGATTTTGCAGCAGACCGTCCTGCATTGGTTTTAACAGTGGTATTGAGACGACTGTCCAGAAAGCAGTGGCAAACTATTGAAGGTAAATTTGCCCAGAAAAAAACACAATAGTTAAAAAATTCTGTGTTGATTCTCCAATGTCCTGTAAAGGATATGCAACTGGTCTTTTAATTTATGTTTTCCATGACCGAGGTTTTTCTTGTGTGTCTAATGAGTGAAGTTTGTCTTATATTTCCCAGGTGTGAGGTTTGTCTTATATTTCCCAGGTGTGAGGTTTGTCTTATATTTCCCAGGTGTAAAGTTTGTCTTATATTTCCCAGGTGTGAAGTTTGTCTTATATTTCCCAGGTGTGAAGTTTGTCTTATATTTCCCAGGTGTGAGGTTTGTCTTATATTTCCCTGGTGTGAAGTTTGTCTTATATTTCCCTGGTGTGAAGTTTGTCTTTTATTTCCCAGGTGTGAGGTTTGTCTTATATTTCCCAGGTGTGAGGTTTGTCTTATATTTCCCAGGTGTGAAGTTTGTCTTATATTTCCCTGGTGTGAAGTTTGTCTTATATTTCCCAGGTGTGAGGTTTGTCTTATATTTCCCTGGTGTGAAGTTTGTCTTATATTTCCCTGGTGTGAAGTTTGTCTTATATTTCCCTGGTGTGAAGTTTGTCTTATATTTCCCAGGTGTGAGTTTGTCTTATATTTCCCTGGTGTGAAGTTTGTCTTATATTTCCCTGGTGTGAAGTTTGTCTTATATTTCCCAGGTGTGAGGTTTGTCTTATATTTCCCAGGTGTGAGGTTTGTTTTGTTTCCCACTAGTTAGGTTTGTCTTTTGCTTCCCACAAGTGAGATTTGTCTTACGATTTTCCACGAGTGAGGGTTGTCTTAAATTTCCCATGAGTGAGGTTTGTCTAATGTTTCCCATGAGTGAGGTTTGTCTTATTGTTTCTGATGACTGAGGTTTGTCTTATGTTTCCCACGAATGAGGCTTGCCATTGTTTCCCTTGAGTGAAGTTTATCAGTTTCCCCGCGATTGAGGTTGACCTGTTTCTAACTGGTGAGGTTTATTAGTTTCCCCGCGATTGAGGTTGACCTGTTTCTAACTGGTGAGGTTTATTAGTTTCCCCACGATTGAGGTTGACCCGTTTCTAACTGGTGAGGTTTGTCAGTTTCCCACAGGTGAGGTTTATCAGTTTCCCACAGGTGAGGTTTACCAGTTTCCCCACGAGTAAGGTTTACGTTTCCCACAAGTGAGGTTTACGTTTCCCCACAGGTGAGGTTTACCAGTTTCCCACGAGTGAGGTTTACCAGGTTGCATTGATGACAGGAGGTTATAAATATAAGAAATAAGCTTAGCTTAATAAAAGTGGAAGCATACAATATAAAAAGTTTGCATAATGCAGTTTTGATAACTGCAAATGCAACTGATTTACGACAACTGCTGGATATTGTGGGGATGGAAGGTGCTGAAAAAGGACTTTCCTTGAATATTAAGAAAACAGAAGTAATGGTTATATTAAAGAAGAAGATAACACTACATTGTGATATCTCAGTTGAAGGGAAAAGACTTAACCAAGTCAATAAATTCAAATATCTTGGAAAAATCATATCAGCTGATGGAAAATGTGTGACAGAAATTAAAAGCAGAATAGGTCAAGTGTATGAAGCATTTCAGAAACTGAAAATATCTAATGCAATAAGTCGCTCTCATTTAATGTCAGAGAGTGCTAAAATGTCACATAGAACCTGTTTTGCTGTATGAAAGCGAATCTTGGAATGTCAGTGAACAAACTGAGAGGAATTTAGAAGCAACAGAGATGTGGTTTCTGAGACGAATGTTACGAATACCTTGGACGGCCAGAGTAGCTAACAACGATTGTTTAAGCTAATGAAAGTATATCTCTATATACAACTATAAGAAGGAGACAAACACTGTTCTTTGGCCACATTGGAGAAAATTGTGACCACTGGAAAGATCAGTGGAAAGAGAGGTAGAGGCAGACCAAGAGAGATAGTGCTGGATGGGTTCAAACAATTGCATGGAGGGATATCATCAAGAGAGCTGTTCTAGGCAACCAGGGATTGTGATCTGTGGAGACGCATGAGCATCTACGCCAGTCGGCAGGGCACGTGATGATGATTAAGCCTAGCTTAAAAAAATCGGTTAATTTTGAAATGTTAGGGGCCGACTTTGATAAAGAACACAAGAGATGCTGTAAGTTAATATTGGCATGCATGAATTTTAATAAAAACACAAATGTGGGTGTATTTTTGGTTAAAAAGAAACCATACCATTGGTCAAGAAGAAACTGTTTAGGATTATCGTTTGTCAAAAAGAAACAATCATTCATGAAAAAAAAAAAATTCATTGTTCGAGAAGAAACCAACATTTGATAAAAAGAAAAAAGTATCATTTGTCAAGAGGAAACTCTTGAGCGTATCACTGATCAAGAAGAAACTCTGAGTGTATCACTGGTCAAGAAGAAACTCTGAGTGTGTCACTGGTCAAGAAGAAACTCTGAGTGTATCACTGGTCAAGAAGAAACTCTGAGTGTATCACTGGTCAAGAAGAAACTCTTGAGTGTATCACTGGTCAAGAAGAAACTCTAAGTGTATCACTGGTCAAGAAGAAACTCTAAGTGTATCAGTGGTCAAGAAGAAACTCTGAGTGTATCAGTGGTCAAGAAGAAACTCTAAGTGTATCAGTGGTCAAGAAGAAACTCTGAGTGTATCAGTGGTCAAGAAGAAACTCTTGAGTGTATCACTGGTCAAGAAGAAACTCTGAGTGTATCACTGGTCAATAAGAAACTGAGTGTATCACTGGTCAAGAAGAAACTCTTTAGATGTATCATTTTTAAGAAGACACTTTTTATGTGTATCTTTTTATAGCTAGTGCTGTCTGGTATTGGTTATCATGTCTATCCACAACTTCTGCCCAAAGTACTTTCAGTCAGCTCTGACACAATTGATCTTCCATAGTCCACACCATGTGGCATTGGTAATCATGTCCATACACAGCCTTCTGTCTCATGTAGTTTCAGTCAGTTTCTGACACAGGTGACCTTCCATAGTCCATGCCATGTGGTGTTGGTAATCACCTCTATACACAACCTTTTGTCCCAAGTAATTTCAGTTGCTTTTGACACAGATGGTCTTCCATAGTCCATGCCATATGGCATTGGTAATCATGTCTATCCACAACCTTCTGTCTCCTGTACGTTCAGTCAGTTCTGACCAAGGATCTTCCAAGCAATGATATCCAACTGTCCAGAATCTTTTTCCTCAGTGTCCCTCAGCCTCTTTTCCACTCCAGCTTTGTCGCCATCTTGTTGTACTCCACTTTTCTCCTTCTCAGGAGGTCACCGTGTAGAATGTAGATAGTCTCTTTCAGATGTGGGTAGTC